TCTCTCTCTCTCTCTCTATCATCCCCCCTCCCCTTACCCATCAAATCTGTTTCAATCTCCCTTGCGGCACCCGTCTGTCAGTGCGTGAGCGACTCACGTGAAGCTCAAAACTCCGGACACGTTTTGCTCACCCGTCTGTGAGATTGTCCTCCAAATTTCCACGCCAGTGCCTGTAGAATTGGTACTGTAACACGGAGGTGTAGTTTCCACTATTTCGGAATTAGTGCACTCACACACGCACGCGCGTACGCGCGCACACACGCACGCACACACGCCACATGTAGACACACATACATACATACACACGCACGTATATACGCACGCACATGCATACGCACACACAGACATACAGACACATACATGTACGGACAGACATGAACACATCCACCTGTACGTACACACACACACACACACACACACACACACACACACACACACACATACACACACACACACACACACTCAAACACTCACACATACATATTAACATATAAACAAACATAATACACATACACTACATATTCACGTGCACACGAGTACGCACACAATGTACGATTCGCGAAAACTCAAGAGCACGTAAGTGCATACATTTGCACACACGTGTAACTCACATACACACATAAAGCCTTCGTATGTGTCATGGCGCGGTGGAATCAGGCGTTCGTCAATTATTTCGCATGTAGAGTTATTAGCACTATATTTAATGTGGCTCATTTGTCTTGCTTTCAGAAGAAAAAAAACTCTCATCGATGCCAAATGCGTAAATATTTGGAAGGGAGGAGATGGTTGGGAGGTGCTCTAGTGTGGTTTGTTCCTTCTTTCCTATCAAACACCTATCGTCCTTATCATTCTCTCCTCCTTCTTTTCTGTGTTTGTTACTCTCTTGTAACGCATAAAAACGTCGGCTTTTTTTTTTTTACTTTACTGTGTTGCAGGTGCCGTAGATCTAAAACCTACTTACTTTTTACTTTTTTTTTTTTTAAACCTTTTCCTTCCTCTGGTAAACTTTGGATGTCGAGAGGCGGTGCAGGTTTCAGTCGTAAAACATTTACTAAAACAATAAAACACACATAAAATAAAGACGGAAGAATAAGAAAGGTGAAACAGTGCTTATATCATCATCAAAAGGTGCAAACAGACAAAGAGAGATTGGTGCAAACTAAACTTGAAACAAAACACAGCCAGCTTGCCTGAGAGAGTCAGAGAGTAGTTTCCCCCTTGTCTACACTGTTGATTACCTGTCAGCGCGGCCACTGATTGGTGGAGCAAACTCATTAGCATGATGGATTAGCCAATGACAGTTGACACGCCACTGCTGATGCTTCACCCTACAGGTTTGGTGGAGAATTTCATGGTCGAGCTGTACTAAACGATAATCACCCTCCTCCCTCCCCCTCCT